TTTACTTCTGAATGAAATATAATTATTTGATAAATATATAAATGAAACAACTACTTTATAAATATAACAACATACTCAATAATACTAGTTCAAAACAACGTTCTATATTAATCAAAACAAGCATAATAATACTTGTTCAAGTTATAGAATAAATAAAAACATGACAATTAAAAATCCATATTGGACAATTTGAAATTTTAACTGTGAATTACTAAAGACGCATAAATCAACAAAAATGCACAAAAATCCACAAGTTCATTTCAATGGATGAAGTCACAAAACCCACAAGGGTGGTGCTGATGCCTGATTGGTTTGAGCTTGACTCTAAGGATCAAAAGTGCCTGAAGATCCTAGATTCATATCTAAGGAGGAACAAAAATCTTCTTCTGGCCACGGAGGTTCAAATGCGGTGACTCTGAGCTACTTGCAAAGCAAATGGTTGCACTGGGATTAGTCGGCTCGCATAGGTTGGATATCCAGGTTAATAGAAAAACATAGATTACAAACGGGTGTTTACTTGTAACTTAATGAGCTTACGAGGTAAGTGATGATGATTACTCTTATCCATAGATATTTTAAAGAACACTATAGATATAGGTTTAAAATATATATTTAAATACCCGAGTGTTAAAAGTGATGTAAGTGACACTTGACTTGTTTTCGAAAATATCACTTCTTAAAATAAATAATTTTTTTATGTATTTATTTAACCAAATATTCAAAACAAAACTTAAAAACACTATCAATTATTTGAATAAAATCAATTAAAAACGAAATAATATTAATAAAATAATTATTAAATTATTTATATATGCAGGGGAGAAGCAAGAAGGGAACATTAAAGACCATGTTTGGTGCATCTAGATCTCTTGGAATCATGTGAAATGTTAAATAACTTATCTACTTGGTAATATTTGTAATTTTCAAGACTAAATTACAAATTTAGTCCCTGTGATTATGTAAAAGTTTGGATTGGATCCCTCTAACCAATTAATTACATAAATGGTCATTGTGGTTTTATTTTTATTTTGGATTAGGTTACTGCCTTGAACTCTGTTAACTTAGCTCTGTTAAGTAAGTTAAGAGTCTATTAATCATTTTATATTTTCTTTTAAAAAATAAAAAAATTATATAAATAAAATGCTAGTTGTACAACTCTTTTGAATAGCCGGTGAGTTCACCAACCACTTTCCTCCATTAATGTTCAATACGGGGATTAATTCAATGCATCAAGAGGTGACGATCATTTCTTACTTTACTTATCTTAACTTTTTTTCTCACTGGAACCCAACCATATGTATATAACTAGTTGTGTACCCGCGCAATGCGGCGGGAGCCATGAATTTTAACAATTTTGAAGTTCCACTGGTTTACACTTGGTCTTTACATATTAATACAATTTGAATAAATAAGAGTTATGGTTCCAATTACAGACTATCGATGAAAAAAATTATATGACAATTTAAAATTCAATATATTTAAAATCCAACATATTTAAACGACTCCACAAATGTGTTCGATTTACACCAAGAGCAAAGAACCAAGAAACTTGAGTTTTAAGATAAACACTCAAAACCAACAAAGCAAACTACAAATTTGACAGATCATAAGCCATGAAAAGACTAAAAAAAATGAGTTTTAGAATGAAATTATAACTGCTTACCCTATTTTTTGTCCAGAAACCCTAACTCTGTTTGTTTTAAAGATGTTAAATCAAGGATATTTTGGTCATTTTTTTCATATATGTTTTAAAGATAAAATAAATAAATTAGTATACATACTATCTTATAAAGCAAATTTAACAAAAGTCTTAAAGTCTTAAAATAATAAATGACCAAGATACCTTTTATATCATTTTTTCACTTTTCACCCCCTCCTCTCCTCACATACACTCACCCTCTCACAACCATTTTTTTAAAATTATAATTTTAAATTTACACTTTATACTCATATAATTAGTTAATTAATTTACTTTACGTCTTTTACTTTTAAATGTTTCATTTTAAACTTTTATCAAATTAATATACATAATCGTATATCAATTAAAACATGTTTAAAAAATACATTTTTATTTTAATAAGTTACACCAATATAATCGTTTCGTTAATACATTCGAAATGAGTCCAATATTGAATAGTTTTTGACTTAATTATATTATTATATRTTATATATATTGTGAAAAAATATTTTTAATATTTACGATTTATACTTTTATAGTTATTTATTTATATATATATACTATATATTTGGGGTTAGACTGTCCAAATTGCACTGTATAATATGTTCTTAGGTTTTCTTGAAATATATATATATATATACATGTATTAATTCAACCTTAATCTGAGTTTTAGCGACCTAGTTCACGATAAAATTAAAACCATAATGACAGTATCTACAACTAATTTGTTTAGGAATCCAATCCATAATTTTAATATAACCACAGTAACTAAATCAGTAATTTACTCTTTTTTAAAAGAAAATGTTTATATATTTTTTATATTTAATTTTATAGTGATAAAACAAGATAGATTTTTAATACAATAGATTGTAATCAGTTCGATAATAAATGGTAGTTATAAATTTTCTTTTAAAATATATTGACTTTTTTGAGTTAAACATTTAACTAATTTGTTGAAAATTTAATGTACCCTTTATCATTAAGAAAACGAGATTTTTTTAAATATACTAGAAGGATACTCGAGTAATGCAGCGAGACACATATCGATTTTAATGTTCTATTTTATTATTTGTCTCTGTCGATGTTATAATACGATTTTATGTGTTTTTAATAAAGCAATAATGATTTTATTTTTGAATAAAATGTAAATTTAAAAATATCATAAAAATTTGAAAAAAATATATGTCAATGCTAATATCAAATCAACTATTTAAAAGTTATCATTTTTTATGTAATTTCTTTAATTTATTATAATTTAATTTAAGTTTAATAACAAAATAATTTATTTTTGGTTTAATAATATAACATTTTATAAAAATAATAATTAAATATTCTGTTTGAACTTAATGATTATCCTAATTATATTTTATATTTTTTATATTTAAAATGAAATGTTTATCCTGTATTTGATTATGTTTATCTGCAATTAGTTACACGAATTCAAACATGAAGTTTTAATAAGTTGTATTTATACATAATTTACTTGTAATCTTGAATTTTAAGTAATATCCATCAATATACAATACTTCGTGCATAAAAAATGGTTTTTAAGAGTTATGTCAAATGCTTTATAATATAGTATAGATAATATTTATATACGACAAATGTAACAAATAAACTTACACATTTTTTTTATATTTTGTGAGATTTGTGTATTATGTATTGTCAACTTTTTTGTATTGATAATTGAGAAATAAATATATAAATTTATTTTTAAATTTGATAAAAAAAATGTAGGGTAATTTTGTTTAAAATAAATGTTCATCTTATAATTAAAGCATACAGTCGGTTTGAAACTAAACCCTTATTTAGTATGAACTAAAATAGTACGTAAACATTTAATTTGTGACAAATAAAGTATAAATATTACGACACGTAAAGTAGCAAGCAACTAAGAGTCTATTTATTAATTAGTATTAATATTTTCTCAGCTTTTTCAAAAGACAAGTCGAAACAATTATCATTAAAAAAAAATGAAAAAGCTCCTCGACGTAAAGGATGGTCCTTTAAGTCCTTTTTATATATTTTAAAGTATAACAAAAAATATTATAACTTGTTATCAAAAAACAGTTCAAATAGATGCAAAAATCGTCCCTGAAATATCGACCATTCTAAATGTGTATTTTTCGTATTTTTGGTCAATAGAGGTGGTAGTTATTCACAACATAACCGACAAATAAAATAACGGTGGATAAGTTATACATATTATATAAAAAATAAAAACAATGGATTCGTGGACCATGTGGTAGGGTAGTAGGAAATTAAAGCAGAGTTTTTAGTTTAATCTAAATAGATCGAAGACAGAAATCTGATTTTGTTTATGTTTCATATAAAAAAAACCCATGTGGTATACTGGTATACATCTGATATTATTTAACAAAGATTTACTGATAACCTTACATTCAGTGGTCCAAATAGAAACAAACCGACTATCTTGCATGAAACTTGTGAAAATACATCGAGTGACTGAACATATACAGTAACATATAGTCGAAGGACAACTTATGTAGTTTACAACTTTTCATTGAAATTCAGAAGCAGCATTTTGTGTGGAAGGGAAAATAAACCATAAAATGGTTCATTTATGAAAACTACAATTAATGAGTTGCAGTGCGAAGAGGGAATGGAAAGCAAAATTGGATCTTTCGTACCACGAAAAGGCATATGAAGTGACCTAGGAGTGTTTGTAGAGCCGTTAGCTCCACAATAATACAAACAAATTCGTCAAAAGAATGAATATAAAGTTTTTCTTTTTTGTCATTTTACTGATATTATGATATATATATACATACATACATACATACATACACATACGACTTGAATTATAATCAAACCTAATTCGAGTTGCTTTCGATTTGAATTATCGAAACGGATGATAATTAAAACATAATCTAAGAGAAGAGAAAGAAAATTCGGATTTTAATGATAAATAATTTCAAGAAAAATAATCCAATAATTCAGAATTGGAATATGCCAATTTGGCAAGTGCAACTCCATTGTTCATATGTGATTGCTCCCTCTATATATATCCAATCCACAATCCATTTTCTTTAGGTCTCAACCACTGAGCAAAAACCCATCTCTCTATCTGATCGATTTCGTCTTCAATTCTTCAGGTTCTTTCATAATCTACATATAATATAATATGTATCTTCTATTAAGACATGACTATATGTTTAACTTCAGATAATTTGGATTGCTGATTGCTTTTCTGAACTTCGATTTCCATGAGAACCTTTTATCGTCATGGGTCGCCATCAGAAGTTAAAGCTTGATGTGATTGGTCCTCTAAAATGGGTTATTTCTAATTTTTAATTTTCAGGACTTGGGGGGGAAGATTAAACAAATGGCTAATCGAAATCTGGAGAAATTGGCATCTATTGATGCTCAGTTGAGGCTTTTAGTTCCTGGAAAAGTTTCTGAGGATGATAAGCTTATTGAGTATGATGCTTTGCTTTTGGATAAGTTTCTTGATATCCTTCAAGATTTACATGGGGAGGATCTCAAAGAAACGGTATATGCTAACTTCAATCTTTCTGTTAGTTGTCACATTGAATCCCCGAACCCTAATCGATTTCAGAAAACCCACTTCAATTCAGATGAGTTTTCATCATCATCATTTGCAAGCATATCAGATATAATGAAATTGGTTATCTTAAAAAGCTCACTCTCCAATGTTGTCAGTTTGGTTTTATGGGTCTTTAGGATTCATAAGTTGTCGAGATCGTTAAGCTGATTACGGTTTTCGGTTTTCGGTTTTGTGTAGGTTCAAGAATGTTATGAGCTTTCTGCTGAGTATGAAGGAAAGCGCGATCCGAAAAAGCTGGAGGAGCTTGGAAGTGTGTTAACAAGTTTAGATCCAGGGGACTCCATTGTTATTGCGAAAGCTTTTTCTCACATGCTTAATTTGGCCAATCTGGCTGAAGAGGTTCAGATTGCTTACCGTCGTAGGATTAAACTGAAGAAAGGTGATTTTGCTGATGAAGCCAATGCAACAACTGAATCTGATATCGAAGAAACTCTCAAGAAACTTGTGCATCAACTTGGGAAGTCCCCTGAAGAAGTTTTTGATGCACTCAAGAATCAAACAGTTGATTTGGTCTTGACTGCTCATCCAACTCAATCTGTCCGAAGATCTTTGCTTCAAAAGCATGGAAGGTACGATCTTTATTCCGTTGAATGTATATAAGTTTTATCAAATACCCAATTTCAAGATTTTCCGTTTAGCTTACATCCAATGTTCTTTGTAGGATTCGTGACTGTTTGGCTCAGTTGTATACCAAGGATATCACTCCTGATGATAAACAGGAACTAGATGAGGCTTTGCATAGAGAAGTAAGTATTAATGATTCAACAAACTTTCCTGCATTTTGCGATATTTTTATGATTAATAGCGATTAATCGGTCTGATGTGATTTGTAGATTCAAGCTGCTTTCCGCACAGATGAGATCCGTAGGACTCCTCCAACCCCACAAGATGAAATGAGAGCTGGAATGAGCTACTTCCACGAAACAATCTGGAAGGGTGTTCCTAAATTCTTACGACGTGTGGACACGGCTCTTAAGAACATTGGAATCAATGAACGTGTTCCGTACAATGCCCCTCTTATACAGTTCTCTTCCTGGATGGGCGGTGACCGTGATGGTATGAATCCTAACAGACACGGGTTGGAAAAACCCAAGATTTCTTTCATTTATACATTGTCCATAGCTCTATCTTGATTTATGCATACATCAAGCAATGGGATCAAGAATCTCATCTTGTCATCTCCTCAAGAACTTTAAAGATGATAAATTTTTCAAAACTAATGAAGTCTAATCATGTTTAGCTTGTGGGTGTTTCTTGATTTATGCATACATCAAGCAAATGGGATCAAGAATCTCATCTTGTTCTCTCTCCTCAAGAACTTGAAAGATGATAAAATTTTAAAACTAATCAAGTCTAGTCATGTTTATCAACAGTCGTTGCGCACTTTGTTCCCATCTAAATAACATTTCTTTGGCATCTAATGCAGGCAATCCGAGGGTAACTCCTGAGGTAACAAGGGACGTTTGCTTACTCGCTAGAATGATGGCTGCAAACATGTACTTTTCCCAGATAGAAGATCTAATGTTTGAGGTACGTAGTCAATGAACAAATAGTCCCTCAACCTCCCCATCCAGAAAGAGTATTCATCTTACTCTAATTTCGCCTTTCTCAGATGTCCATGTGGCGTTGTAACGATGAGCTTCGTGTTCGGGCTGAAGAACTATATAGAACAGCAAGGAGAGATGTGAAGCACTACATAGGTATTAATGTTAATGATGCCAGAACACAAAGAAAACGCTATTGTTTGTTTTTGTAAACTGATAAATGTCTGAACGTGTGTAATTGTCTAAACATATGTTCCCTTTTAGAGTTGCTTAGATGTTGGGTGTTTTCTTTTCTGCAGAGTTCTGGAAACAGGTTCCTCCCACGGAACCTTATCGTGTGATTCTTGGTGACGTAAGGGACAGGTTATATAACACACGTGAACGAGCTCGCCATCTTCTCGCCCACGGGAAATCCGACATTCCAGAGGAAGCAGTTTATACCAATGTTGAACAGGTATCTTCCAACCCTTTTAAGATTGTGAATTGATATCTTTCTTAATGCAATCAGTAACCATGTTTCCAAAACGTTTTTACAGTTCTTGGAACCTCTTGAGCTATGCTACAGATCTCTTTGCGCTTGTGGTGATGTTGTGATTGCTGATGGAAGCCTTCTCGATTTTCTAAGGCAAGTGTCGACCTTTGGACTGTCGCTTGTGAAACTTGATATACGTCAAGAATCTGATCGCCATACGGACGTCCTCGATGCCATTACTCAACATTTGGAAATTGGGTCTTACCGTGAGTGGTCTGAAGAAAAGCGCCAAGAATGGCTTCTGGCGGAGCTTGGTGGAAAACGGCCTCTTTTTGGTCCGGATCTCCCCAAAACTGAGGAAATAGCGGATGTTTTAGATACCTTAAATGTCTTGGCCGAACTCCCATCGGATTGCTTCGGTGCTTACATCATTTCAATGGCTACAGCAGCTTCCGATGTGCTTGCTGTCGAGCTTCTTCAACGTGAATGCCATGTGAAAAAATCGTTAAGGGTGGTTCCGCTTTTCGAGAAACTGGCCGATCTTGAGGCGGCTCCGGCGGCCATGACTCGACTTTTCTCAATCGACTGGTACAAAAACCGCATCAACGGTAAGCAAGAAGTCATGATCGGATACTCTGATTCGGGAAAAGATGCCGGAAGGCTTTCTGCTGCATGGCAGCTATACAAGGCTCAAGAAGAGCTTATTAAGGTTGCAAAGGAGTTCGGAGTTAAGCTCACCATGTTCCACGGCCGCGGTGGAACCGTTGGGAGAGGAGGCGGACCTACCCATCTCGCCATCCTGTCTCAGCCACCGGAGACCATTCATGGGTCTTTAAGAGTCACGGTTCAGGGTGAGGTCATTGAGCAATCTTTCGGTGAGGAACATTTGTGCTTTAGAACACTCCAACGTTTTTGCGCAGCTACTCTCGAGCACGGGATGAATCCCCCGATCTCACCTCGACCTGAATGGCGTAAACTTATGGACGAGATCGCAGTTTTTGCAACCGAGCAGTATCGTTCTATCGTATTCCAAGAACCACGTTTCGTCGAGTATTTCCGCCTCGTGAGTGTCCTTAAACATTAACTACAACATAATCGGATTTACAGATGGCCAAAGATGTCTAGAAGTCTTAATAAACTGCTTTATAAAATTTAACTTTTTCTTATTTGCTATATTTCTACAGGCCACACCAGAACTGGAGTACGGACGTATGAATATCGGAAGTCGGCCATCAAAAAGAAAACCGAGTGGAGGCATAGAATCACTCCGAGCCATTCCATGGATCTTCGCATGGACTCAAACCAGGTTCCATCTCCCCGTTTGGCTCGGCTTCGGGGCTGCATTCAAATATGCCATTCAAAAGGACAGCAAGAATCTAAAAATGCTACAAGAAATGTACAAAACCTGGCCTTTCTTTAGGGTCACCATTGATTTAGTCGAAATGGTGTTCGCTAAAGGAGATCCCGGCATTGCCGCACTGAACGACAAGCTCCTCGTCTCCGAAGATCTATGGTCTTTCGGAGAATCTTTGAGAGCAAACTATGAAGAAACCAAGGATCATCTCCTCAAGGTACAATTTCAAGATTCATAACTATTGCTCTTGAATACCGAGTGTCTTAGAGTCTCATATCAGCTAGACACGTACCATCAAAACAGTATATACATAGAAACCCCCTATCTCTATACACAGATTGGACGAGACTAGACTGACGAGAGTGGGTTGGGCATATGAACGAATTGTGGAAGGTTACTGGGTCTTAATTTGACATGGGTAGTAGCAATACTGTCTTGTCTCCCAAAGAAATGCATTTTTGTCTCGGTCAATCCCATCTACTCCCGGTCTAATGCTGTTCCAAATGTGGGATAACAAGCTTTTGTTTTGTCCTATGTCCAACTTACCAAATGTACCCTAAAGGAGATTTAGGAGCTGTTTGGTTGGTATTCCATTAAGTCCTGTATGGATAAAGTTGTTTGTGTGGATTAATCTGTCTGTATATATTGTGAAGGTTTTTGTTTGGGAGGGTCTTTTCATAGACGAAAGGAGTATGTTTTTTTAATTGGGAGGGGGCAGGTTTAGAAAAAAACTTGGTTTTTTGCATAAGCCACTTCCTACAACGTTAAGCCACTACCAAATATTGATGTATAGCTGATTGAATAAGCTATGAGTATCATTAAGCTTGTTAAGTTGCTAACAAACAGGCTCTTAAAGAGGTTTCACATATTTTAACAGGCTGATTATATTTCTTTTCGTGTTTGTAGATCGCTGGACATAAGGACCTTCTCGAGGGCGATCCTTACTTGAAACAAAGACTTCGTCTGCGTGATTCATATATCACTACCTTGAACGTATGCCAAGCTTACACGCTAAAACGAATTCGTGATCCAAACTATCATGTGACATTGAGGCCTCATATCTCGAAAGAGTATTCTGAGCCAAGCAAACCGGCCGATGAACTGATCACCCTGAACCCGACCAGCGAGTATGCACCAGGTCTGGAGGACACCCTGATCCTGACCATGAAGGGCATTGCTGCCGGTATGCAGAACACCGGTTAACTGCCCACCTTATGCAACTATATCGGGGGTTTTCCGCCTTTCGACATCGAAAAAGACGTTGTCACGGCCGTGTTTAAACGTATTCTCAGAGTTATTTTCTTGTCTTCACCTCTGATTACTGAAGTTGTACTATAGGCACCCATCAATGGTACTTTCACCAATAAAACCAGTGGATTATATTGTACACTTTATTACAAGTTCTATATAAATTGCTTCACTTTCTTCTTATTTATCATCTTCGCGAGTGTTTGTGGCTTGTAACCGGCAACCCTCGAGTTGGCTCTGCTCCCCAACCGACATCAGTCCGGTTTTAGGCTGAACATATCATATATTGTCCGCTTTACCACATACCTGGACTCCCAACGCGTCTGATAGAGGAGGTATATAGTCTCTTATAAGACAATATTTACCCCCCCTCCACAATCGATGTGGGATCTCACAGGGTAGGGGTGGACCTATGAATCCCCCAACGGGGTCTTGAAATTTATTTGGTATGTGAAAAGGTGTACATGCTAAACTTTAAGGACACTTTGAGATATTAGAAAATACAAGAGATATCAATCAAAAAACTAAAAAAGTGCATTGAAATCAACCAAACAATTTAAAACCCCCCTCAAAACAATAGAATTCAGCTAAAAATATATCGGATGATTTTACGGGTCTTTGATCAAGCTCCACAAAATTTTTAAATTTATTGTTGAAGTGAAATGAGTTGCGTTTAAATTACCAAAGTAACCCTCTATTATTTGCACTTAACCACTTTCGGTTTAAGGGCATGAAAGTAATCATTTGAGAAGAATGCATGCATCACCCCCCCTAATCATGCCGTCCTTCCAAAAGTGTAGTTGCTTTTCCACCTGTATTTACACGTAAAGTCAAAGACACATCTGTTAAAGTATTTTCAACAGATTTTTTAAATAAAAAATTAAAAGTCAAAATTTTTAAACCAAATTTATGTTTATTTCTAATAATTTTTTTATTTTAAAGATTATAATATGAATTATATTACTAAAATATTTTTTTTTTCTTAAATTTAAAATAATAGGTTTATATGCCTAATATTAAAAACATGACGGGTCTTAGTGTAATTAGTGTAAGTAACGGGGACCAAATTGCTATTAACCCAGAAAGCACTTGCCGTCTCTATCCTACGTGGCGCACTAAGAGTGGTAGCCATACGCTACTATCTACCGGGCTGTGGGTCCCTTTATGTCGTTTTCCACCCACTTGCAGTGCCTCATCAATCATCTAAAGTTTCATTTCGATCCCCTTACCTTTTCCTCTTTGCATATTGGCACACATTACTCTTTATATTTCTATTATTGCCACTAAATCATTGCTTTTTGTTCAATTCAGACACTTTATTACTTTTTAAAACTAATTTCACCTCCTTGAACAAATTTTGTTTCACAAGTTAACGACACCCATCATCGCAAAATACCCTAAACTGTTATCGACCCAAATATCAAACTGATCATCCTCTGTAATAACTCAAAATATCTGATAAAACTTGTCCATAAATAACGAGCAGAGTCTATATGTTTATCACTTGTTTATTTAAGCACAATGTATTCGATTATTCTTGATATTAAACTGGTATTCAAACAAATAGGTAAATTTAATATTGAATTAGTTTAACATGCAAGTTCTCAAGGGTTTATGTGGTATAATCTTCATGCTTCTTTAGTCCATGAGTAGGAGTGCATTTATCTCTTTTGACTTCGGGTATACATCATCATTACAGCATACAATTTCTCTTTTCTTAAAGGAATTTGAAAATAGTTTAGTGGAGATGGATTTGGTACTGTATCGAGTTTTTCTTAATATTGTGTATCAATCAGTTATAATTGATAGACAAAATACTGTGTTGTAGCCAATTACATTTGATACCAACTTAACTTGTACTAGGTTTTTTTCCTGGTTGAACACTAGTTTTGTATCAACTCCAAATTATATATATATATATATATATAGAGAGAGAGAGAGAGAGAGAGAGAGAGAGTTTGTTTCAAATGCAACTCATCGCATTTGTACAACCAATGCAACCCAATAAATTGAAATATTTATGGAAATGATGAGAGTTCATTTATTATGATTTAAATATTTATGGAATATGAATATGGTTCATTAATTATAATCAATATTTTATATTCGGAAACAATCAAAATTTCTATGAAATTACATATTAATCAAATTAAATGGACGGTTGAGATTGAGTTGTATTGGTTGTACAAATGTAAGGGGTTGTATAATAACCCACCCTCTCTCTCTCTCTCTCTCTCTATATATATATATATATATATATATATATAAATTTGTCATTTTGTTCAAAATTTGAATGATATTTTGAGTTTTCTAGCAACATATGTGATGTTTAAGGATTTTTAAATGCAAATCATATAACTTACAAATATTCAAATATAATAGTTAAAGTTATAATGTTTAATATTAGTACAAAATTTAATAAATAATTAAATAAGCCGGTACCATTGTATGACTGTGGTACACGACTTTCAACACCATATATCAACCAAGTTTGTATACTAAATAGATAGAGCTGTTAATGGGCGAGACAACTCGTTAGACCCGGTCCATCCAATCCGCTAGAAATACGAGCTTGGACAACCATTATCGATAAAATGGACCGGACCGGACCGGATTTGTTCGTTAAAATTAACGGCGGACATGGACAATGGAAAAAATAAATACGGATAAGCTCGCCCAGCCCGTTTATGTTTTATAATTAATATATTTTTACCATTAATTAAAACTATAGTATTATACTAATATATTTTAAAGTTATATGTTATAGAATGAGAGTTGGAAGTCTTTGGTTATTTCTTGATCAAAACCTGGGATCTTTGAAACTGGCAGTAGCATGATGGAGCCATGAAAATGTATTACTCGTTTTCTGGAAGTTTGAATTTTGTTTTTCATTTTTTCTCCATTTGTTGAAATCCACATGTCACTTTAGTTGCTTAAAATTTTAATTGCAACGGTGTTTTTTCTTTATTTTTCAGTTTTACATTTATTAGTTAGTTGCTAGTGATCAAGTTTATAGATTATAAGAATTACATTTTTTAGGACCGTTAGCCTGTGGGCAAGCCCGACCTGTTTATAGGACGGACAATGACAAGTTGTCAAACCCGAAAAAACGGTTTGCGTTTACAATATTAAGCCCGTTGGACAAAAAAAATAAGTTAGGCCCGACAAATGATTGCATCTGTTAATAGAGTATTACTATTAATAATTGACTGTAATTGATACTTTTGATATACATGTTAACTGGTTTGGTTTGATACAGAATTGTCACTCATATAATTTAGTGTGCAAGTAGTATTTTCTGTTTTTGTTCGTGGCAGAAGTAGAAAAAACTAAACTTTTGTGGTGAGAATAAAATATTCTCTTCACTATATTACAGAAATATACAGCTAACAGTCACACAGACGCATCTCTCCGCGTTTCTCTTATTTGACAAAAACAGTAGAGAGAGAATCGTAGTTGAGCTCCGAGATCGGCATCCATGGCGGCCTCTGCTGAACGCGAGAACTTCATCTATGTAGCCAAGCTCGCCGAACAAGCTGAACGCTATGACGGTTAGCATCTTTCTCATCGTGGATCCGTTGTTTACTTGTTGATTTCCTTATTTTTATTATGAAATTTGAGGTCTTGATCGTGCAAGATGTAGATGTGTCATGTGTGCTTACTGCTTCAGTTTTACACTAAACGCCCCTACCTGAATGATGTTGTGGATGCTATAGACTAAAGTTATTAGTTAGGGTTTCAAAGCAACGTGTAAATTATTCAAAAAGGGGATATTGTAATTGGAGGAGGCGGCGAGGCTAGATTTAGGGTTTACTAGATCCTACAACCCTCAACCTCTTGTTCCTGAAAACGAGTTCAAATTTTATTCCTTCAGTGTCTAAACACATTGAAATCGACATTAACTGTTCAAATATTTTCAGAAAAATATTGATCGCTACGATAACCTATGTAAGAAGTACTGAATATAGAATCCGGCAGTTTTTGTTGCAAAAAAGTAAAGCTGTGAAAAAGTACTAAGTCTGACATTTAACACATCAAACGTTGACTGGTTTTTGAAACGGAGTTACTGGTACTTGGTATTTGGTAAGGTAAACATTGAGGTTAGAAGGAATCTTTGGTAGATGAACACACTTTTATGCAAGGATTGGTTTTTTGACTTATTCTGGCATTTTAAGGGAATATTTGAATAAGATGTGGGTTACAGTTTTGTTTATCACTAGGAAAACTTTCATGCGTTTTAATTGCTTTAAAAAACTGAATATCCTAAATATAAAAATATAGAAGTTGATTTGAGGATTGATCTGTGCTGTTGTCTTTAGGATCTTATGGTGATTGTCTTTTCTTGTTCAGAGATGGTTGATGCCATGAAGAAGGTTGCAAAGTTAGATATTGAATTAACTGTTGAAGAAAGAAATTTGCTCTCGGTTGGATACAAGAATGTGGTGGGTTCACGTAGGGCATCATGGAGGATATTGTCCTCCATTGAGCAAAAAGAGGAGTCTAGAGGCAATGAAGTGAATGTAAAGCGGATTAAGGAATACAGGCAGAAGGTGGAAACAGAGCTGTCTAACATTTGTGGTGATATCATGACTGTGATTGATGAGCATCTGATTCCATCTTCCTCTGCTGGAGAATCTACTGTTTTCTACTACAAAATGTGAGTATTTCTTAATAAATATGAGGAAAAGGTCCAAAAGAACATTCTTGTCCCATTCCTTGGTAGTTGTTGATTGTTATTACTTTTTGATTTTGTGTGGGGTTTGTGTTCTAGCAAATTGTTCTAAGAATATAGTCATGGCTTGATTAAAGGGGATAGAATATTTCTTTTTTCAACTGGAACTAGTCTAAGACGACCTTAAGTTTGCTGGGTTCTTAAGCTTTTGTGATGGGTTTTGACGGAGTGCAGGAAGGGAGACTATTATAGGTATCTTGCAGAGTTCAAGTCTGGTAATGATAAAAAAGAGGCAGCTGAGCAGTCACTGAAGGCTTATCAAGTAAGTAGCCTTTTCATAGTGTAGTTTCCTTTTTTCATGAGGATCCTGAGTATCATTTACACAAACATTTCACATAGTAATTCTACTTGCATTTTGAACAGGTAGTATGATGCCAGTTTATTTATTTTATGATTTTTCAATGCTGCAAAAATCCCAAAATGGCATAAGAAAGGTTTTTATAGATATATATTATTGTTTTAAAGATATGAAGGTAATTGAAGTTCTGTCCCTCTCTCCCTTCCTCTACATATATACTTGTGTGTAAGTATGTGATAGCAAGTGCAGAAGTGTGTATTGACATAACACTGTATTATAATTTTTTCGGTTCGCTCCAGTATATATTTTATTTCATCACCATTTCTTTTTGTTGTATCTCAAGTTACAGGAATAGTTTGTGACAATTGCTTACAGTTGTCCAGATTCTGAATTGTTCTTGTGTTGTTTAGCATATAAAGGAGCGTTAACAAATGCAAAGCTCTTTACCATGCTTGATGATAAATTTTGCTTCTCTGATAAATGACATGTTGAATTATGTTTCCCCCAGTTGGCTTCTACTGCTGCAGAGGATTTATCTCCTACTCATCCCATCCGGTTGGGTTTGGCTTTGAACTTCTCCGTTTTCTATTATGAGATCATGAACTCTCCCGAAAGGTAATGTGGAACTTCTATCAATCTTGTTGGTATACTTGATATGAAAAGTCCATGCTAAATCAAGCTGCCTTAAACGTCGGTTTATCAGAGCCTGCCACCTGGCGAAACAAGCTTTTGATGAAGCTATCTCAGAGCTTGACTCCCTGAGTGAGGAATCATACAAAGATAGCACTTTAATCATGCAGCTCCTGAGGGACAACCTCACTTTGTGGACTTCTGACATTCCAGAGGATGGAGGTAAATTTCATGTTAACTATTTGGGTTTATCAACTTTTCATATTCTTTTACCAAGTATTTGATCCTATCGACAGTTTATACTTCTTTTGAACAAGTTCTGACTGTGTTCTATAATTCATGAACCTAATCCAAGTGTTTTCTTCATGGTTTTTATATATACCTTTAAACCCCATATTCGTGCGGCTGTGTGAACACTTCATTTAGCATTTTAGCCAAGCTCAACTGGTGGCCAAAACTGAACATTTACATCTTGTTTTTAAGATGAGCTAGATATAGACAGACATCCATCTTCTAAAATATCAGGACTTGACTCATTTTCTTCACCTTTACATTACTAAGCACAACAATCTATGCAAAAGGCTTGCACCCTATGGTAAGTGCATACCTTTGAAAACAAATTGTTGTTTTTTATAGTTTAAAAAAATAGAATTTTGTTATTCTAGTGGGTCAACTAAAACGAAATATAGTAGTCCATACCCTGGTTGAATCTGGTTTTCAGATGGCAAAGTTGAATCTGAGCTGATCTTCTCTACGTCAATTTTTTTTTGGGGATTGTGGTTTTTAAATGGCAAATCGTGTTTTGATTGAACTATTAGGAAGAACATTTGGCATATCAAATGTTAAAGATTACATTCTTCTTCATCCTCATGATCTTGAATTCTGTAGAAGTGCAAGATGTTGGATTTAAATGTTAATCTTTTAGGATGGTCTTAAATTTTGCAAGCACTTGAGTGTGTTTGTACTTATTAAACATGGTGTTGCCTTTGCAGAAGACCAAAAGATGGAGATAACGAAATCTGGTGCAGAAGATGCAGAGGTGAGTGATCCATGTTTTTCTCTCAAAAACTAATTCATATATTTATTGGCAGAATTTGTGCTTAGATTGGTTTGAAAACTTGGTATGCAGTAAAAAAAATTGAAGGGGTAGGTCTGCTGCATTCTTGGAAGGGAGCGGGATATGGCCTTTGCCTTTGGTATCGTATTTCTGAAGCGGTAATATGAGAATCATCGCATTAGTTGTTGTTTTTTTCGTCTGTCTGTATGTCGTTTGTTGTAAAATGCCCAGATTTTATGATCCATTCCAGGCAAAAAGAACCTATTTTAGTTAATTTAGGAAGTTTTTCTTTGGTGATAATGCAAATAAGAACACGAATTTCACCCTTTTAACTGTGTGTTGTTTGGTTGAATCACATTTGCTGATATAATCCCATATTTCTGTTTATGATCCATTATTTACCATAAGAGTGTGTGTGTGTGTATATATATATATTCTATATGAATTACTAATATCAGATTTAGGATTTTTACTGAACTAATGCACCTTTTAAGGGGATCAAAGACCTGCAAAGTCTTTTGATGTGTTTTTTTTTGGTTGAAATTACGTTGTTTTGAAAGATTTTTGAGTTTTTTGATTGATGTCTCTTGTATTTTTCAATATCTTCAAACACCCATTAAAGTTCAACGTGTGCATCTTTCACAACCACAAAATCTAATTTAGTTGGTGAAAATCGGTTAAACAGGTGCATAAAACCGTTGGGCCTTCATAGGTCTGACCCTAGCCATGCTTATTTTAAAGACAATAAGGATCATTGTACAGGTACTCTTGGAGTCCACATAAACGAGACTTGTGTCTCATCTCATCAATATATGTTGGAACTTTCTATATTAAGAGCTTTTTTGATGGTTAATTTATTAGAGTTTCATGTATTTTCACAATAATTTAGGGTTAGTTTAGCCGGCAATAAGGTTTGGATTTTGGAGCTCCTCTCATGTCACCGGTTCGAGTCCATCCAAAGCCTCTGAAAATTTCTTAGTTGTTTTCTACGGCCTCGTAAAATTAAACGATATTTCATGCAAGTTGACCCAAACATCCGATGGTTAAAAAAGAGTGATTAATGACGAAGAGTTTGAATGATTGATTGACCCAACCTCTATAATTATGGATTGGGATATAATAAACGTGGGCCAGCCAGAAACCTGGAAGAAAATCCCCTCCATCAAGCATCTTTATTTTCAATTTCGGTCCCTCTTCTTTTCATTTACTCCATTTCTTATCGAATAAATACTCGTATATAAATTTAAGTATAGTCTTTCCTCTATTTGCTTGAAAGTCTATGTGGAAATGGTGTGATGTTTCATTATGGGTTTGTATAAGTTGGTTTTACCCGAGATAAAGCAAACCAAATCCGCCATTATAAAGCATAATTACTGATTTAAAAATCCAGTTTGCAGTCTAATTTGATTCAATCCGACTCAAAATTGAACTTAAGTAATTACTTTGCAGTTTTTTTCTGCCATTATATTTAATGGTTGGCAAAAATCAGTCTGAACCAATAAAATGGATAAACCAACCTAGATCATGCTGCAATCTGTTATATTCACTTTGATTCTCAATTTAATATTTTTTCAAAACTGGTTTGGAAACAATGTCGTCTGAATGTGGGTAATGTCCAATCTAAGACCGAACTGCTTCAGTTGGGTCCATATTTCAATTTCATTTAACTTTTGAATTCCGGTAGGATTCAGATTCGTATTGGTCAAGTCAAAAGTTATTGGGGGAGATGTAAGAATTAACTCAAAGTTGAAGGTTGGAAACGCTAATTCATTAATTTTAGTGGAAGAAATCATCAATGTTAAAAAGTTGGAGTCCTCATCTTGTAGTTATCCGATTCCTTTTTAATAAAACCAAAAACCTCCTAAATAAATACAATCGAACCATTTGCAGACATGGTCGCGGCGTGAAAGAAAGTCTCGATACGATCGGTTCCCTTCACTTTCTCTCTCTAGAAAACTTCCCCCCCTCTCTCTCTCTAAAAGGGCAAAAAAGACCCCTTTGGCGTCAATCCTCCACTTCCATGGCGAACAGCAACCTGCCTCGAAGAATTATCAAGGTATCAAAGAGACCAATTCTTGATCATCCTCTATTGATCCCTTCTCCACTTCATCGTTTTCATTTCTCTTGTTGTTTGTACGTATATGTTTGTCGTTTTAAGATTCTTTACCCTGCTATCACCGTCGAGTATCTGAAAACCCTAATTTGCGTTTTGACTTTCTTGTTTTGATACAGGAAACTCAGCGCCTACTCAGCGAACCAGGTGAACTTGAATTCTACTTTATTTAGTCATATATTGTTGTATCGTCAATTGCTAATAGGAAGTTAATTTTGGGTATGTGTTTTGGAATTTTACTGTTGCGTGAGGGTTAAGATCAAGAAAATTGTTGTATGTTGAAGGTCATTTCAGTTTTGGGTATTTGATTTGGCATTTCACTTCTGTGTGAGGGTCAAGATCAAGAAATTTGTTTTATGTTGGAGTATTGATTACTTTAAGAGCAAGGAAGTTGTCATTTTTGGTGCTTGTGTTTATGGCCTCTGATTTTGTGGTGTAGCACCGGGGATAAGTGCATCTCCATCGGAAGAAAACATGCGGTATTTCAATGTCATGATTCTTGGCCCATCACAGTCACCTTATGAAGGTAAAACAACTTACATATGGCTTTAACTACTTGATTTCTGAAAGAGTACATGTAGTTTATTAGTTATTTTGTTGGCTACTTGTTTTATAAGCAAAGAACTCGCTTCTATGGAACTTTAGTAGTAGATGTATATGGGGTTCACTTATTTGTTCTTCCCTGTACCTAAGATAGAAGAGCAAAAAGCTCGGTTCCATTGAAGCATCTGGGTTAATAACAAGCTTTTATCTCAAACTAGCTGGGGTAGCCTAGTTCTCACCAAAAGAATATTATAGAACTATGAAGCCGAAAGCAAACATAAAGAGGTGATTATCTTGGGTTAGTGGACATGGATGGTGTTGTACCACACGTTCCTCTATATGCAAAAACGTCAGGGGCATGGGTATTAGAAGGGCTAATCAAGTGGAAAAAACTTGCCACTATTTGAGGCATCATGGGAAAGTTTTGATATGCTGAGTTCCCAGTTTCCCGGTTTGGCAGGAGGGTATTATTAGGCCTGAAATACATTATACATATTCTAGGAGGAAAAGGTAGTTTAGGAAATTCAATTGCGGAAAGTAGTTGGGATCAGTTGAAAGGGGGCATAGTCGGTTGGTTAAGGGGTTAGACTTTTGGGATGGAGCAATTAGTAGTAGTGGGGAGAGAAGGGATTCCATTGATTGCTTTGTAAGGTGTAAACCGAGGAGAGGCCTAACATTGATTTTGATCCACAAGGTTTTTCTATCGTCTCTTTCTTTGGGGGGTTATTTTGGATATTTGACCATTGGTGAAACATGTTGATAGCGTCATCCGATTCTAAGGTCATGTTTGTTAATGGGGTTCACAGCTTATTCAGTCAGCTATGTGGCTTATTCAGTAAGTTTTTAGGGGGGAGGGGGTTATGCAGAAACCAAGTTTTTTCCATACCTCCGCCTCCCGATTAAAAAACATGCTCCTTCCATCTACGAAGAAAACCCTCCCAAACAAAAATCTTCCCAATCTGTGTAGATGGATTAAACACACATATAGCTTTATCCATATAGTACTTAGGGGCTGTTTACCAAATTTTTTCAATTAAGTCCTGTATGGATAAATTTGTCTGTCTGGATAAATTTGGCTGTCTGGATAAATTTATGTTGTTGTTTACTTTTCTGTCTGAATCAACAGTCTGAATAATAGAAATGGCCAATTTACCCTTGAGGATTAACTATGGGCTGTTTAGTAAATTGTTGTTCATTTTTTATGGCAAATGATATTTCTGAAAAATAAAATATTTAAATATCAAAACATAAATTTATAAAATTCATTTATATCATCCAAAATTAAAACATAAATTCATAAAATACTTAAAAATCCAAGTTCAAACACAAAGTAGCCAAGTTCAAATACAAGTTCAAACACAAAAATCCAAGTTCAAACATTATTGATCAAACTATTTGCAATTCCATCTCTCAAAGTAGCCATATATTGAGTGCTATTAGCACCCCATTGGGAAATGTCCGGTTCTTCTTCTCTATTTCCTTCGCCTTCTTCTTCGTTGTTAAATATACTATCCTCATTGCATTCCATAAACAACTGGTCTTGAATATTATATTTTCTGATGAAATTATGTATCGCAAAGCAAGAAATTACCACATTTCTTTGTGTTGTAAATGGAAAGAGAGCACTTTTGGTGAAGTCTTCTGTTACGGTTCGCATTGTCTAATTAACAACAGTTCTAAAACAGAGAGCGCATACTCTGGTCCAGTTCTTGGTTCCAACTCTTTCCAATTTTCAGCATTAGAACAATGCACTGTCCTAATACATATTCCAGCTTTACTTTGATACAAGAAACTTAAGGACAAACATTGCAGAAAGAAAAGCATAGAGCAGATACTAGCAGCAATCGATGGATCAAACAAACCCAAAAAATCGAGCAAATACTAGCAGCAATCGATGGATCAAACAAACCCAAAAAATCGAGCAGATACTAACAGCAATCGATGCATCAAACAAACCCAAAAAAATCGAGCAGATACTAGCAGCAAATCAGCAGCAATAGAGCAACAATCGAGCAGCTAGGGTTCTAAAAGCAAATAATCTATAGATAAAGAGGAGAAGTAGTTACCTTTGGAGAAGAGAGACTCGATTTGAGGAGACAAATAATCGGCCGATTAGGGTTCTTGGAGGAGAAGAGAGCGTCGATTCTTGGAGGAGAAGAGAGGCGTGGGTTGGAATGAAGGGTAGGGAGTGTCTTTTTTTTGGCTTAATGTGGACAACCCATGGTAGCCATCTGGGCGAATAAGCTCGAAGTAAACACCCTAAAATGACTGTGCGAATAAGCCAATTTATCCATTAAGCCTCAAGTAAACAGGCCCTTAATGAAAAACCAACCAAACAGCCCCTAAGTTTATTTTATTATTTTCTTGACTTACTTAACGTGCCACAAGCTTACATTTGAGATGTTTAATTTTCATTTACTTATGCTTTATGGTTGAATATATATAATTTTGACCGTTGTTATATTTCAGTGTTCCACACAATCCTAACCTCAGGGTTTGCTTCTCTTCTACAGGAGGAGTCTTTAAGCTGGAATTATTTTTGCCTGAGGATTATCCAATGGCTGCCCCCAAGGTACAGAAACATCTTATATCGGGAAGCTGTATGCTTCTTATGATGATTTAGTTATTCACACATCATGTGGGAAGCTATCTTGGGTACTTTATGTTTTATTTATTTGCTTGTTATCTTCACTTGTGCATGCAAAAACATTGAAAACTTCTTTCACGAATTAAAACGAAGAAAGTTTCCCTCTTTTGTTGTTATCCGGTGCTCCATGAAGACCATTATCTCTTGTGCTTTAATGCATTAAAACCTTATGCTATCATCCTGTTTCTTGTACTTGTATCTCCCAATGCATTGAAGGATTTTTTTATACACATTCGTGCAGGGGAAATGCTTACCTTGTAAGGGCCGTTTGGTTTGAGAATGGTTTTGAGGGATTTGGATTTTGAAGGATTTGAATTCTTTCGTGTGTAGGATTTGGAATGGAAGTGAATTCCATTATTTATAGAAACAAATTATAAATAATTATTAAATTACCTTTTTATTAATTGATTATTACAAAACAAACATATTTTAAAACTTTATTATATACAAATCCTACGAAATCCCATGAAATACCAACCACCCCCATGGGATTTCAAAATCCTATGTTTGTGGGATTTCAAATCCATGAAATCCTTCAAACCAAACATGGGATTGGATTGGAATTCAATTCCAAATCCATTTCAATCCTACAAACCAAATGGGACCTTATTTTTGTGGTCGCTTAATTATTGGCGTGGTGCTGTTATGTATGACTAACATTGTAGCTTACTGATCTTCTCAGTAACCCGTTGATATGTTTTTTTTTGCTTGTGGTCTGATTTTAGATAGATCTTCAAGTCAGATGTACCTTAGAGGTAACTAGTGTAAGTTAAAATTGTAGTAAATATTGATGGCTAATTTAAAGCAAGTGAGTTTGAAATGTTAGTGAAGCAAGTTGACTGAAAAATAAGCATAGCAGGATGGCTAAAGTGTAGAGCTGCCACATGAGTATCGTACGATAAGAAGGTTCAAGGGTAAATTCTATAGGGTTAGAATCTTGGGTTACAAGGGAGGTTGTTTACAAGAAGTTGGAAGTTGTGGAAATGAGGGTGTTGTAAATCTAATATATATGAAAAATGCTAACAAGTATACATTTTATAGGCATGTATCTAATTATTTAGAATGGGTGTATGATTCATTTGGTGATGTTGCAACACAGGTTCGATTCCTTACAAAAATATACCATCCAAACATCGATAAGGTTGGTCTCACTCTCACTCTCACTCTCATTGTTTTTGAGTTTATTAGGGATTAGGATTGGTAATTGTTCATTTTGTTGTATGTAGCTTGGTAGAATATGTCTTGATATCCTAAAAGACAAATGGAGCCCTGCTCTTCAGATTCGCACCGTACTCCTCAGGTATGTATATATATATTAATTATAGAATAGAAATTTTGATATCAATCATTTACTTACTGTGTTGTTCGTAAATTGAATGCGGGTAGCATTCAAGCACTTTTAAGCGCTCCAAACCCAGATGATCCGTTGTCGGAGAACATAGCAAAGCATTGGAAATCCAATGAAGTTGAGGCTGTTGAAACAGGTAAACAACAACTTCACACAGACACTTGACTTGCTTGCTTTCTTTCTTGGGTGTTGAAATTGGTTTGTTTGTTTGTTTGGATATGCAGCAAAGGAGTGGACTCGTTTGTATGCAACCGGCGCCTAATCGAATTTACGACTACTTCCTTCACTTTGTAAATCCAATCCCATGGAAGAAACAGATTTCAATTGGGAACAAGTTTTCTTTTTTCATTTTAAGGATTCATACTTTCCTTTACAAAGTGGTTCACCCATATATTTCCTCCTCAAGGCTCGCTGTGTTGACTAATGGGTCAAAGTCACATGATTTTTTTCTTTTTAAATTGGTCCTAATCATGTCTAATAAAGATTGATATGTTATACATAGGGGTGTTTGCACCACATATGCATCGCATATACCTTAAACCCACACCATGAAATGCGCTATCCCATTTTATGCCTGCAATCCAATAATTATAAGATTACATCTTTTTTCTTTTGAAGTATATAATATTTTATATTCGGCAAATGCAACAAGTAAACTAACACACTTTTTTCACCTCCTAAAAGGGCAAATACTACGATACCGTTAGGCTAAAGGTTCTTTGAGAAGATTAAATTTTCATTATAAAATTAACAATGACATGATCATGGTCCAAAAAATAAAAAAGTGTCGAGTAAGTTTGTCGATTGTATCTAAAAATTGAAATCTTTTTGAAAATTGAGAGTAAAGTAGAGCAAAAGCCTCATTTCATGACCTAAACGTAGATGTTTGCTTAAAGCCTGAAAATATAGTAGACTTATTAATGGAGTATGGAGAAAATAAATTAAAAAAGCAATTGTTTTATATATATGTTATATATAAAATATACGGTGTGGCGTGGTTTGATAACTCAAAACCGCAAACGATGTTGAATAGTTCAGTTTGGTAAAAATACAAACCACAACTATAACGTAAAAGTTTTAAACCGCATTTTACTGTACAGTGTAAGTAATTTGTAAGATTTGACACCTCTTGACCTATCCCCCTTTTACCCGATCAAAATGCAGTTGTTCATCGGCCTTGATTCGTTTCCAAGCCTTTATTTCCATTTCTACTTTCATTCATCACTTAGGGGGTGTTTGGTTCAATAAATGGAATTTGATAAAATTGAAATCTATCAAAATAATTTGACTTTAAAGGAACTGGAATGAAATTTGACCATGCGTTTGGTTGGTAGGAATTGGAATGAAATCTCTCAATAGAATTGGAACAAGCGTCTTTGTTTAGACTATCCCATTCATTGCCTCGCCCAACCTACCAACCACATGTCACTATTGTCGTTGGCACAGTTATCACCCTGCTCCACCCTACCCAAACCCAAACCCAAACCCCGCCCCCAACACTCCTGCTCCTTCGGTGGGGGGTTGTTGGGGGCAGACAAGGTGGGATAAAGTGGTGGGTGGTGGAGTAGGGTAAGGTGGGGCGAGGCAAGACGATGGAGTGGGTAAAGGTAGGTGGCAGAGTGGTAGCTGTGACGATGATTGTGGTGGGATAGTAGTCGGATGGCTGGGGCCTAGAAATGGGTGAGTATGACAACAACAATAGTTACATGGTGTTTAATGGTGGGGTGGGTCGGGGTAGGTGGCAGAGTGGTAGCTGTGACGATGATAGTGGCGGGATAGTGGTCGTGGTGGCTGGGGCCTGGGAGTGGGTGGGTATGATGACAACAATAGTTGCATGGTGTTTAATGGTGGTTGGGGTGCGGGGTGAGTGGAGGTTGTTAAGACGACAATAATGATGTGGAGGTGATGACAACAATAGTTTCATGGTGGTTAGTGGTTGGGGGGGGGGGGGGTTTAAGGGGTAGGACATGACGAATTTAATTTAAAGTTGTGGAATTCAATGGAATTTGAAGGATTTCATCATCTCAAGAAATGAACCAAACAAATGAATTGAAATTTGGTCAAAGAAATTTGTCATTCCAATTCTATCAAATTTTTTTGAATTACGCGAACCAAACAACCAATAAAAATTTAAATAATTATCTATTGATTTTGTTACATAATGAGAATACAAAAACTTTTTAATGGTTTTATAAAATAAATAAAAAATCGAATATTGTGACAAAAATATTTAGAAATTACATAACAAAAATCAAAAAAATCATGCAACTTTAATTCATAATAACAAAAAAGAAAAAAGAAAAAAAAAGGGATACTTTTTATGGAACTTTCTTGTGGGTGACAATTCGGCCTTAAAAGCCAAAAACTAGCCGACACCACATAGCTGATAGTATGCTAAATCTGCTATATTACCCCCTTCAACTTTAGTCAATTGCAAGTACAACCCCTTTTAGTTTCTACAACACTAGTTTTTAGCCCCTACCAAATTCATTTATGTATCTGACAAGTCACAAATCGAGTCTTCTTACATGTGGTACCACTATGACTATCTATAATGTACCTTTGACTTCCATCTTCAAATCCATTCAACTCCTTTGATTCCGGATGTTACCATCACTTTTCTTTCTTTTTTTCAACACACGATCTTCATCGTTTAACACGAGTGGTAACATGTTCTGCTAACCAAGATACTGACTTAGTAAGTTAAAGAATGGACTCTTAGGATCCGTTTTTTAGCAGCTTAATGACACCCCAACTTATTCAAATAGTTATACATATAGGACTTAATGAAAAACCAACCAAACAACCCTTTATCTATCCGTTATCAATGCTTCCCCAAATAGGATTCTTATCCGGTTAGAGGTTATAGGGGCAGCCTTTTGGTTGGGTTACATTGAATGTATGAAATTGATCTCACCAACCATAAAATTATGGGTTTGGAGTTACAGTAAAGGCATCAATGAATAATTGTATTAAAACAAGGGTAATCAAATGAATGAGAAGCCCAGAAATGCAAAACCAAAAACATGAAATGGGGACCAACACCCATCAAGAATCTTTAGGGCAGTATTTAATGGAGTCCATGGTTTTCTTTAAAGTGGTTTTGGTTTTGGTTCTGGTTCATTCATTGCATACACATGACATTCACACCACTTATTCTTTAGTGCCCTTCACATGTCCTGTTTTTCAAGACAAAATCTAGTCAACAACCCCTTCTCTTTGACTTTTTACCCCCCCCCCCCCTCCTCAAAGTAACCACAATCATTTTTACCTTTTTACCCTTTGACCAAAGCAACTAGACAGGCCAACAAATTTACTGGTAGGTGACTAGGTGTAACAGATGTAAAGATTTACCCTTTACTTTTTACCAACAAAGGGTAATGCAGACTGCAGAGAGACCATCAATCAGATAACAATGAAATCAAGTAAAAAAAGATGAAATTTTTATTGATGAAATGGTTTCAGTACACCCATCCAATCTATTCCTCCAAAGTTTTTTCCTTTTTCTTTTTGTATATATCTTCATCTTCACATATATATATATATACACAATGGACAGATCCATATCTAGAACAAGACAGCCAGCAGTATGGGAGCCCACTTGTAATTACATTGTACATGCTATCTCAAATGGAAGAAGACATCAGAGGCAAGGGGGGAAGATAGGTTTATGAAAAGGGGGTAAAATGGGAATTCTAAAAAAAGCTAACATTTTGATGAGAAAAGAATGGGGAGTATTGAAAATGGCTCCATAAGAGCAATGGTGGTCTGGTGGGGGTGAATGAATAGAATCTTTTAAGTTTTAACAACTGCAAAGGTTATGGTAAAGTTTACTAATCTAACCCTCTCTGGTTTCCACTGGATTGGCTTTGAAATAATGATGAAATTATTGTGCTTTTATGTAGTTGTGATGCAGCAACAGCAGCTGTAAAAACTGGGGTATGATGAGAAGGAAATTACCATTCTGTCCTCCATCTATTGGTATATAGCAGCTACGGCTGATAACGGTTGGTTTCGTTCAGAAACTGTAATGGCGGACAGAGGACTCCAAGACTTCTCGGCATGGGCATACCATCTCCTTCATTCGGATGCCCTTTTTGTAAATCTTGATTGTTGGTACAATCCTCACATTCTCCACACTTGCAATTGCTGGGCTTTCTTCGATATCAACCTTTTTCCATCAAAAAGAACCAATTATTCAACAGATGGAAGTAGGATCGAGCTTTTTGTTGACAGCAAACGTAAGAATCACATTTCCATTATAAAAATCGAAGCTTTTTAACATTTTCTGAGTTTTTCTTTTGTTCGAAGAACCCGTCATTTTCTTTTTCCTTTTGGGTGCTTCAAAATGGTACGCACTAAACATATAAAGACGGTTTCTTGTTTACCTTGAGAAAGTTTATAGAAGGATATCGGGTGCATAAGGTGTCAAGAAACGGAGATATCTGCTTGCATTGAAGATCGGACGTTGATTTGAAAAGAACAACAGAAGCTCCTACATTTCAAACTTAAAATATCAACAAAACTTCCAAAAAAGGACAAAGAATTAGAGCGCATTTTGGGAAGAATAAAGAACCAACCAGTCGAAGCAACTGCAGCTTTGAACTGATCAAGACCAGCAATCAATTCAACTTCTCCACCAAATTTCATGTTATACACTTCTTCGCCAAGGGATTTCTTCAACGCCACCTGGGCATGAAATAAAGATTCGGCTATATCGTTGTTGTTTGGAAGCTCTCTCCTCAAAACTTCATAATCTCTCACTGATTCAGCCCATCTCTCAAGCTGTAAATGCAAAATAAAACACATTTCACAAATTTAAACTGAAAACAGCATGTACCATTGATTTATATAAAACAGAAAACATCCACATTCGATTCTTTAAAACTGGACCAACTGTCAAACAGAACATTGCTTTCTTTAATATAAAGAATGAAAAGACGACAGCTTGTCACATGAACTTATGACAAGAAATTTGCAGCCCGTGGGTCGGGGCTGTATATGGGTAGTTTATGTGACTCATAGTTAAGAGACTTGCGAACATGACTCACATTCAACAAGCAGGAAATTTGAGATTTTGTTGTTGGAAGGGTATATCAGGCAACATCAATGACTTTAAATGCTCCCCTTCTTTACTTCCATTTCACTTCCTTGAGAATAAAGAGTGAAAACAAGATTATATATATACCTTGCTATATGTTGCAGCTCTTCGCAGAAGTGCTTTTGTATAATTTGGATGAATTAGAAGTGCTTGATTGCAGTCATCAAGAGATCTTTCCAACTGGCCGAGCTTAAACCAACAAGCTGCTCGATTGCAGTAGAGAATTGGATTTGAAGGATCAAGCCTAAGCCCTTCCCCATAGGCTGAACAAGCTTCTGTGAACCTTTCTGACTTGAAAAGATCATTGCCACGAGCTCGAGCTCTAGACAATGACCGTATGTTTTGAAGCAAAACCGCAACTTCAACATTTCGAGGCTCAATTTGCACTGATTTCTCAATAGAGGTAACTGCATTCTCAAATCTTGAAAAAAGAAAAAAGAAGTCATTTTTTGAATCTTTTTTGTAAAAAAAAACCCTTAAATGGTTGAGACAAACACACAAAACTCACCGTCCCATTGCCATGTCAATTTGAGCACGAACAAATAAAAGGTACGCTTCAGAAAGCATCCCGAAAAACTTTGATTGGGAACAGGATAGGCAACTAGATGCATTGAATTTAGGCACATTCGAAAGAATCAAATCTGCATCATCTAATTGACGGAGCTTCAATAGCGCTTCAGCTTTGCATGCAAATAGCTAACAGTTTGATATCAAATGATTCAGTTCCATTACAAGAATGCTAATGATCTCAATCGCATGATATTGTATTAGTTCTAAAGCAAATCGGTTTACCTGAGGACAAGAATCGGCTCCAGAAGAGATTGCGGCATCACTTTCCCTTAGCGTACCACCCCAGTCTCGGACTCTCCTACAGTCGGTACACTTATTTAAGTGCTTCTCCACTTCTTGCAACTTTTGGAGCTCTTTCGGGTCCGGTTGGTACCCTGGGAAACAAAGGTGTCTCCTTGCATTCTCAACCTGTCCTAAACTGTCATTGCTTACATGAATTAGATTCACTTACTGTATCTAATGGATGAGAATAACTGAAAGAAGTCCATAACCTATGAATTCAAGAAACCAATCTAATCTTTAATGATTACCATCTTTGATCATGATCATGATCATGATCAGCAGCATAACAACACCCACTTGTAAAACAATAATATAGATGCAAAAAACAAAATTTAAACCAACCCTATAAGCCAGATGTAATTCTTTTCACAAGATCAATCATTTATTAGCATGTGAAAACTAAAGATTAAGTAAAGCACAAGATGGGCAACAATGATTTGGACTCCAACCCACAAAATCGAAGGATCAAATTCATGAACTAGATCTGGGAAAATGGTATGGGTAAATCTTCAAGATTTCTTGAAAAAGTATGATGAAAAAAAGATGAAAAAGCTTGGAACTTTTTTTCTTGAACTCACCTAATAAGAAGAGATCCTAAACGATGGTGAGCTCTCACATATCCAGATTCCAACTTAATAGCTTCATCACATTCTTTGACAGCTTCAGTCAATCTCTTGAGACACATCAATGCAGCTGCACGATTACAATGGTAGGCTGCATTTTCCGGCGACAGTGATATTGCTCGATCGTAGAAACTCAATGCTTCTATAAAATGTCCCTTTTTGTACTCTTCGTTCCCCAATCTCTTCAAATCCTCTGGATCCGTTGATGATCGTCTCGAAACAGATGGATTTGAATTGCCTGAAACAGGGTTTTCTCCTCTACCGCCGGCCACGGCGGACTTGATGGCGGAACCTCCCCGCATTATGCTGCCGTGACCGTAATTACCGGTGCCTAAACTTAACACATCGGGCTTTGAGGTCCGACTTGCCATCATACCCGTCTTGAGAACCCTTCCCGACGGGCAAATATTGCCGGTCGGAAGCACATTGGTGGTCGGAGAAGTTGCAGAGCTTCCGCCGGAGTAGATTAACGGGTGACCACCGGTTCCTCCGGCGGAATAGGATCGGAAGTGAGTCGACTTCTTTGAACAAGACCCACCTACTGAAGACGTCGGAGAACTATCNCGGAAGTGAGTCGACTTCTTTGAACAAGACCCACCTACTGAAGACGTCGGAGAACTATCAGCCGATAACTCGCCGGAATCTGACCTTCTAGAGGTGGAAAGAAAGTGAGACCCATTTCCATTCCCACCCGAACCCGACCCCGACCCGGATGAGCTAGAGCTGCTGCTAACCGCTGGTCCGACCCGTAAAGGCGAAATGGGCGAACCCAAATCAAGTTCCCGGAAGTCTGGTTTATTGGTGTTATCGGCGGCGTTACCGTCGCTAGTGAGTGATTTCCGTAGGCGATCGGAGAGTGCATCAAACCCTAACTCAGAAACCGATTTAGACGAATGCGACATTTCAGATTCTTGAAAAGAAAACCTATCTGCAAACACAACAAGAGTCAAGAGAGAGAGATAAAGCTTCGAACTTTCTCTCTCTCCCCCACAATCTTTTCTAGTGATGTTAGCAATGGGTGTGGTTGATTTTAAAATACAACCTGCGATGGATTACAACACAGTGAAACATAGAACAAGGGGAGGGAAGAAAAAGAAAGGGAAAGAGATGGGGATCTCGTGATTTAAAAGGAGAAGCAAAGAATGAATGTGAAATGGTTCAAGAGAGAGAGAGAGGGTTTTACAGAGAGGAAAGAGAATGGAAGGAGATGATGGATTTATTTTATTTTATTTTTTTCTTTTAAATATTTCGACTTCTTGCCTGGTGCTTCACGAGCCAGAGGTTTCTCTCTTTACTGCCCTCTGCACTTCAAATATATATATATATATAGAGAGAGAGAGGTGTCAAAAACCATTTGTTTAGGTCAAAAACCATTAAAAAAACCGAGAAATACTCTAATAATCGTTGATTTGAATTGTATTTATATATGTATACAAGTAATTTATAAGTAATTTGTCTCGTATGTATATATATATATATATAACATGCATATTTGTATAAAACCAAGAAACAATTTCAATTACTTGTATACATAGATGATATTCTTCAGTTTATCATTTTTTTGGGTTTTTTTCCATAAACATCTCTATATACTAATAACGTGCTCGTGCAATGCAGTGAGATAAATCTTGATTTTAATGTTTATTTTTTATTTTTTTGTCTCTATCGATAAAATATGATTTTATGTGGTCTTGAGAAGACGATAATGTTTTTATTTTTGAATGAAATATAAATTTGAAGATAACATAAAAATTTAAAAAAAATAAATCGATATTAGTATCAAGTTAACTATTTAATAGTTTTTTTTTTTTTTTTGTAACTCTTTTAATTCAATTTTGTATTATAATTTAATTTAGATTTAATAACAAAGTAATTTATTTTTTATTTAACAATATAATCTATTACTCTTGAAAACTATTTTTTATGCATGAAGTATCGTTTATTGATGCATATTACTTAAAATTCAAGATTACAAGTAAATTTTGCATAAATACAACTCATTAAAGCTTTATGTTTTATGTTTGAATTCGTGAACTAACTGCAGATAAATATAATCAAATAGAGAATAAACATCTCATTTTAAATATAAAAGATTTAAAATATAATTAATATAATTATTTAGTTATATTCTAACAAAATACTTAATTATTATCTTTATAAAAAATATATATTAGTAAACCAAAAATAAAAAATGAATTAAAGAAATACACAAAAAAAGGAGAAATTTTATATAGTTAGTTTGTTACTAATATCAATAATTTTTTCCCACTTTTTTATAATATATATCTTCATATTTACATTTATTCAAAAATAAAATTATTATCGCTTTTTTCAAAACCACATAAACCGTATTATAACATCAATTGAGACAAAAAAAAACATTAAAATTATGATCTATCTCGCTGCATTGTCCGAGTACCCTTATACCTTTTTTTTATAAAAGATAATAATTGAACATTATGTTAAAACTCAATGACTATCTTAATTATATTTAAAATGGATGTTTATCTTGTATTTGATTATGTTTATCTGCAGTCAGTTACACGAATTTAAAAATGAAGCTTTAATAAGTTGTAGTTATGCAAAATTACTTGTAATCTTAAATTTTAAGTAATATGCATCAATAAACAGTACTTCATACATTAAAAATGGTTTTTAATAATTTTTATCAAATGCTATATAATATAATATAATATAATATACACATCTTTTGGTTTCTTGATCTATAATATTATACTAATGCTATGATCTAATGTGCATAAATCCACAGTAATTGGTGTCCTCCATATGTAATCAATCTATTTTTTTAATTTAAAAAAAATAAATGAAAATAAAAACATTAATTACAGCCTAAAATTTGAGTAAAATGAATGGATTTCAAATAAATTTTGAAGGTCAAACAAGTAAATACCGCAGCAAATACTGTGTGAAAAAAGATTCGCGTAATAAAGTTCAACAAATTCAAAGAGTATTGAATTATTAAATACATACATGGAAATATTATGAATCTGATCAGGAGATTTGACAAATCTTAATATATAATTTTGTTTAAGAGCAGATATATATTCGTCTATCAGAAAAATTAGTGAATTTGGTCAATTTTCTCATCCCAAAAATTGGTTTTGTGAAGGATAACTTGTGTGATGATTTTGACCATATTCATTGATAATCAATTGGTTGTGACTTCCAAATTTAATACTTTATACAAGTTTTTAAAATAATTAATTTATATATTCATGGTATAAATTAAATAGCTTTTGTGGATTTTCGGGTTTTGGAAGTCAAAAGGGAGAAAAAATAGCGAACAAATTCATGGAAAGTATCGCCCGAACTTTTCTAACGGCTTTCCAGGTATTAAAGGGTTGTTGGACGGTAAATGTAGGGTAAGATTTAACGTATACGCTTGAAATTGTAATAGGTTTCAAGAATATATGTGTTTTTGTATTGTACATTTGTGTAAGTTAAAGTGGATTAGAGATGAACACGTAGGATTAAAAAAAGTCGGTTAGAGCTCAATGATTATGACCAGCAGACCAGATATGGTTTTTCGGCCTATGACTGATGTTTTTGGCCAAATTCTTGATCAATAGTGATGTGAATTTGGTTTGGTTGTCCACCGACTAAAGCTCGATCAAAGAAAATAATGTTAACTGAGATATGTGAATAAAGTGAAGTATGGACGATGTAAAGTAAAAAAAAAAGCAATAAAAAGAGGTAACACCGGAAATTGGCGACCTATTTCCACCTTGAATTGGTAAAACCTGCGGGCAATCCGCTATGAATGGGGGTGTCCGACAATACAAGAGAAGTTACATCGAAAAGCTCCATGAAATAGGTGCGGATTTTAGACAATAAAGAGTTCAACAAATACTAAAGTATGATAAAGTGCTAGCGTTCTTTGAGAGCAGTGAAAGCTACGGCTTGCCAGAAGTATTGAACCCTACCTTGGAGTGTGCTTTGGTCTTTTATAGTGTCCGTTTGATGATTGTTGGTCGACGATCCCTTGATTATGGTAGACGTAATTTGAATCCCTATGGACTCAAATTCCTATCTTGAGTCTTTGCTTGACTTGGTTAGGGTTGGATTAATTCGTTGGACATGTGTTAATTCTTGTGGGCGTCTGGTTGGTGCATCAGTCTTTAGTGGATAGATGGGCATCAATATGATCATGCGAGGTAGCCTTGATGGTCACTTGGGCTATGTGCATTGGACGTTTAGATGGTTGTTGTCACAACTACGTGAAATTGAAAACCGGAGAACTCCCAATCAACCATAAAATTAATTGATCCCATAGATGCAAAAAGAAACCAAAGGGCTTTTGAATAAGTTTAATTTTTAATCAACTAATTATTTTATTATGTTTAGATTATTTTTCTTGCCCACAAGATGCAAAAAGAAACCAAAAGGCTTTTGGCGTAAGTCTTTGGCATCATAGGAGATCAGGGGTTCAAATCTTACCAAATGTGAGGAGGGTGTGTGAGTTTATTTATTCTATTTTAACATATATAAATATTACATACTTCAAAAAAAAAAAGATGCAAAAAGAAAGTTATTCAAAACAACGACAATATGATGCAAAAAGGACGTTGAGCGTGCACTTGAAGTTCTTCAATCTCGTTGGGCGATAATTAAAGGACCATCACGATCGTGGTATAAGGAAGAGTTGAAGGATATTATGCATACGTGCATGATTTTGCATAATATGATTATCGAAGATGAAGGTGACAAGTTGACCAATTGGATCGATGAAGAGATTGACAACCACAAATATTTCAACATTCTACCCATTAATTCCAAAACTATCTTCATCAAAATTATCAAATGCGCTCAAATGAAGTTTCTTTTCAACTTCGCTCCGCTTGGTTGAATATATTTGGTCGAATCGATATTACGAGTGATCCGCATTACTATTTATTATTTACTGTTATTTTGTATAAAGATTAATATTTTTGTGATTTGTGCATTTTGTTTAATTATAGTATAGAATTATATTTATGCATTAATTGCTTTTCAAATATATTAACAGAATACATAAATTAACAAATTAAAATTAGTATAAAAAGGAGAAAAGAGACAATTAATAAATTATATTCGAATTTTACTATAATTTTATAATATATATATATATATATATATATATATTAAATTTATTTCATTTATTCCATTTCCAAATAAATATTTATTAGCACCCTCTAGTGTTCATTCTCTTTCTTTTGTCTCAATTTTCCAGCAGCAATTCCGACTATGGTTGTACGGAAAAAAGTTAGCGGTATCGCCAGAGTCGTACAAAGATTTACATCACGACGAACAAATTGAGTGGTTGCACAGGATACCATTAGTCTTTTATTAAATCCGCTCCTACCCCATCGTCAGACATTTTTCTCACCCCACCCTTGGTCGTCATTAACCATCACAAACAAAGTAAATGCAATTCGTCTGCATCACTTTCATAGTGCGATAAGATGAATATGTTAATCAACCGTTGTAGATATGATTTGATTTTACGTTTTCAGAGTTTAATAGATGTTTCACATGTGAAACGGTACATGTAAGTTGAAACATTAGTTTATATCTTTTTAGTATGTACATTGGTTTTTATTAAATCAGTTACTTTTTGATATTTCGCATATTGAAACAACATTGGTAAGAAACTAGGTAAAAAACACTGTAATTGTTTCATATAAGAAACAATAATTGGTTTGGTTTCATAAGAGAAACAAAACAGTCACAAAAACAACAGTAGTATGAAACTAGGATAACAAAAATGGTTATTGTTTCATATGGGAAACAATAACTGGTTTGGTTCGTATGAAAAAAAAAACAGTTGGAAAAATCGTTAGGATATCGTTGGCATATGACAACTGACTGAGTTTTTTAAGGAGGTAACAATTCAAAAAATAAAT